AGTTTGTTATCGCTGGAAGTGCTACTGCATTGTAAGGTGTTTTCCTGAATGAACTGATATGGGATACATTCATTGGCGCTATGGATTCGGATGCCATTTATTGGACTATTAAGTTTAATAATTTGACTCGTGGGTATCTAAACATTTAGTAATTTAATATTAATTTAAAGCAAATGTATACATACCCAATAATATTAAACAGAAAAAATAAATATATTCAATAAAAATCTTTGTTTTAATGAATATACAATGTCATAGCTCGGTAAATACGTCAACACTGAAATGAAAATCAGTCTAGCATAGGGAAAATCGGGGAATTACACTGCAAAACGGCAAATTGCATAGTGGCATATATTGAGCCGGTGTAAACTGAGGGCTACGTGTATCTATTTTCTTAGCTAATGAAAATTCTGTATCTGTTAAAAACAATCAATCAGTCTGTAGGATATAAATATAAGGATACATCACTATTATAAAATTTACTTTGTAGCGGTATGGAAATACATTGACTCGTAAGTGAAAATAACTAACAGAAATATTTAATTTTATGTCGGTAGCGGATAAATCAGATAGAAAACCATGTATAGGGTATGTGTTAATATTATATTTGTGAAGTATTGACCTTTTAGCAGAGAGGGAACAAAAGAAGTGCGATCTTGTCAATTGGACCCACGGGCAGTCGGGTGATATACCACTTGTAAGATGTTGACTTCTAAACAGAGGGAAAACAAAGGAAGCACTGACTTTGTTAATTGGATCCATGTGTGTAGTCAGACAATAGACCATTTGCCATATGGTAAACTACTAAACATAAACAAGTGGTGGACGTTAATGTAAGCTCCACTCTCTTCGGATAACAGCAGACCTGGGTGCAAGCTGTTTACGAAAGAAAGGGTTGTGATTGGTCAGAAGTTTCCATCCAAAAACCCTTAAATTATGGAGCGAATGGGAGAGGGAGGGAAGAGAAGGGCAAAAGACTGGTAACATGGTAGTCTAAGGCACTTGGGAAGACCACTGAGCTTAGAGAGAGCAGTCTTCTTCAACTATCTCAGGGATGGGTAAGTGCAGAGACTGGACGGACCTTGCAGTCGAGCCAACTCCACAAGCTGACTGAGGCCTTTCCAAAGTTTAATAGTTCCTGGAAGCCAATCTAGTATTTGAGGCACCATGCTTTTTATCCTGTATATACTATGTTTTCAAACCTGTACACTCTACATATAGAATTTGTAAATAAACTGTAAATATTGTATAACTTGAGTGTGGAGGTGTGCTTTCCATTGAACCTGGATCAGTATATCGAATCATGATATACACGGAAACCAACTCAACAAGACGGAGTTTGAGGAAGATCACTATATTCTTTGTAGAAAACTACATCAAAAAAATTATTTTTACTTGTAGGAAAGTCAGTATATTGATTAAGGTTATGAAAATAATACATGCTATTAAAAAAGAAACATTTGGCCAGGTCTGGCAAGTCTGGGTGATATTTGATAGGTTGAAATCAACACATATTATGTAGGACATTCCCTTAAATGTCCCTACTTTTAACTGTTGTGTAAAATCCATTTGTTCAGATACATGCATAAAATGTGTTGAAGAACATTACTCGATATTCCAAGTTTCACACTTACACTCGAAAGATACATTGCCACTGCATGGTCTAGATTGCTTGAATCCCGTTTTTCAATTTGCTCTATTGCCAGACACTTAGAGAGTCATGCATATGCTACAAAAGTGCTGGATGCAAGAGTTCTGCACACAAGAATTACAAATGCTGTTAATAACAAGCTGGCTGTGTTAGGATGCATGGAGCCTGTCAAATTGGGAGCATATGTGGAAATGTACCGATTTAATATAGCAATTAATCTTTCAAGAGGTCTAGCCCAGTGGGCTAGTCCTGTTGAAGAGTCACCTTGTGGTCTAGCCCATGTGTCCACTGAGCTTAGAGAGAAGACTGCTCTCTCAGAAGCTCAGTGGTCTTGCCAAGTGCCGTAGACAACCATGTTACCAGTCTCTTGCCCTTCTCTCCCCTCTCTCTCCCAAATTTCATGCACATGGACATGAAATTTCGAGTATCAACCGACATTCTCTGACACATTTTATTCACATAACATAATAGTTTAGAACTAGATGCATTTGAGAGGAACACTCTCTACATTAGATAAAGACCAAACACGCAAAATTGAAATTTGCATTCTGTGCTAAAAATACCTCTTTAATTAAATAATAATGTAACAGTCCATTTTTAATAGATATTGAGTTATTTATCAAGGTAGGTGCAATTACTCCAACTGCTTGATGGAGATCAAGAAAAATATGCAAATCAGCTGCAGTCTTTGCTTGCAATCTTTTTCAATTTTTCCACTATCAAGGCTTCAATTTTTTGATCTAGTATAACAGGAATCTTTAATCTGGTCACTAGTAACCTTTCAACAGACAGTTAATTTATCTGTTAGGTCGATAAATTACTAGGGATTATTTTTGGTGAGTCGATGAACAAATTATTCACCATCTTCTACCGCAGTGGTGCCAAAACTTTTCTATCGATGTGCCAAATTGTACATAAGGGGTCCAGAAATATTTTGTATATTACATAGATACAAACAGTAGGCCTATTTCTATCATATCACCTGTTCACAGACCAGATTTGGTTCAGGGATGTAGTTTGGCAAAACTGTTCTATAGTACGAGACATATTCCAAAAAATTGGTCGAGTGGTTATAAAAAACAGTAGAAGTGTCAAAACATTTGTTAGTAGTAGACAGAGGACATTTAGGCCCTTAAAAGTGGCGTTTTAGGCACTTAAAATAGGATCTAAAATCGCCTCGTTTAGGCTTTATAAACAAAAAAATAGGCAGTCAAAATTTGCACAATGAAAAATTAACATACTTATCAGAACAATGATATATATGTTAAATATACATTTAACATACGTATTCCAAACAGAAATGCATGTATTCAGAATGATGCAAACACAAAAGTATATACACAATTGTCTCTACATTTTTTAAGCACTGTTTCCCATAGTTAGCTTCACAATATATTACAAATGTGACTGAAGGGTCGGCACCTCCTCGATGCCTTGTCAGGATGACACCACCGTGTCCCGGTTGACAAGGGAACCTAATTAGTTCATGCGAGCGGTCGCGTAACGGAGTGATCAGATTCTGGATGGAGGGAGTGAGAGATAGCGCACCGGAAGTGATTCTTTCAGAGACTAGATTAACATAACAACCGTTTAATGGGAAATGCTAGGAAATACGTATCTTACAATATGTCAATAGATTCAATAGTAAGGGTTAAATGACAGTTCTTGAGAGAGAGAGCTTACGATAGTTCGTGTGGCGATAAATACCTGGAGTTTGGTTAATTCTTGGATTGGCATTTGGTTAATTCTTGGCAACGATGTTTATTCAAGTTTCTTTGGCACTTTGGCAAATCCTGTTGCAATTAATCCCAATAAGAGGCACGCAATAGGTTTTGTTGCAAATAATCCAAATAGGAAGCATGTAAAAACTAGAGTCCAGTTGCGATCTGACGACTTCTGTCCAGAGGAACGGCAGCGACTGTGACGAAAATCTGTTTGTAGCTATATTCATTTGACAACTTTGCAATAATAGGTCGGAAGGTTATGTGAAAGCATCTTTTCGCCACTGAGAACTTGCTGAGTGATTAATTCCCAGGTGTGAAATTTGATACTTAATCGATAAAATAGTATTGTTAACGATTTAGGTCAGGCTGTAGGTTAATAAACACGGTTGAGTCTCACACAAACACTTTTTCCAAATTTTCAATAGAAAAGTTGCTGAGAATTAATATATATGCAGAGAAAGAGCATTCCACATCTACTGAAGATAATGGACAATATTTCAACCTTGGAAGAAGATAAACTTGGAATTCACTTTCAGTTTTGCTCTTCTTTTAAAATTCTGTCATCTGAGAGTTCAACCAGTTCAGCATTGCCATTTGCAACTCCTCAGTTTCTTTGAATTGTTGAGACATAAGCCACTTCTTTAAGTGTAGGAAGAGGTCATAGTGACTGAGTGCCAGGTTGAGACTGTAAGGGTTCCCATCCTAATTGCTTAAGCATCTGAACAGTGGAGGCAGAAGTGCATATTGTATTGCAGGATGTATAAATTTCACTTAATTCACAGTGAATTTCACAAGCACAAAGACCTTTTGCTTGCAAAAATGAAATAACACCATATTTCACAATTGGCAGGAGTGTTTATTTTCAAAACCATCATTACGCACTATAACACAAAAACACCCAACAGTAGACTGATGAATGTATACCCTGGTAGAAGCTCAGAATACCAGTCGATGCTCATGTACAACCGCAATCTTGACTACGATTGCAAATCAATTTTTATAACCATTTGGTCCCTTATTTAAGAATATGCCTTCTATTAATTCATAAACAAATCAAAATTAATATTCTTCCAATGTAATACACTTTTAACATCATAAAAATGATGCACATACAACAGATGAGTGTTGTGAATAGAATGTCTACTGTTATTTTTTAGTGTTTATAGCAGAGTTTGCAATCCAAACACAAAATCCTCTTGTTCTCTTTTTAATTGTTTGGAGTAAGCGTAAGATTGCAAAGTTAGTACAGGCTTTATTAGTTATTCTTGCCCGAAAAATTTATGCTGATAACGGGCATTTTACGACGGTTTCAGAACTTAAACAAGAATTGAGTGCTGGTTTCAAATGATCCAGAAATCTTATAAAATTTAATTAAATCAATATCTAATTTCATTTTTGAAGTCATTAAGTAGTTCTATTTTGTATTAAAACAATTTTCATCAATTTACGTTACGAACTATTGCTCAAATTTTAAACTTATCCATATTTTTGCGGCACTGTAGACTCACAGTCTTGATAGATTTATAATTAACCAGAGCTATGACAAATGAGAAATTAGTATAATGTCAGTGTGAAAAATATACATTCATGTGTTATATTAATATAAATTTTACATTATTTTTCAGGGAGAAACCAGGTGAAGAGGAATGGTTAGAGTTAGAGAAGTTAAAAATCCCTCTTCTACTGAATTTTTCCCAGTGTAAACTTGTGGAAAAGGATTATTACCCTGTTATTGAACATACTACTACTGTTCTAAAGAAAGAAGAAGGTAATTACATTTTAATAAAATTTATGTGTTAGGCTAGGTTAAACTAACCAAATGTATGGATTAAATTACATATTTTTTTTTATTAAAGGTATGTTCTGCTTAATGGTAGAAATATATTATTATGTTATGTCATTGCTAAGCAAGTATCATAGAATGTATTTAAACAACCTTACATGATACTCATGTAGGCCACATGTAACACAATGATATGTATTTATGAACAAAGAAAAGATACTGGTGGCTACAAACAGCTTCATTATGATCTTGTGGAATTTCGTTAAGCAGTGCATACCTAAGATTTGTTACAAACAATTTAATTTTACATGTTATCCAACGTTATCCTGCTTCATGCCTACCAGATAAAGGATTATTGGTTTGTTACTGTTAAAAGATTTGAAAAGAAAACAGTCTAATGCCTTTATTGGCTAAGGAAAGTTGTATGTTCACAGTCATTTCCAATATCATACAATCACAAAAGCTTGGGTATCCAGAATCACTTGCATTATTCGCATTCACTCATATACTAGGCTGTTCACTATCCACAGAACTAAAGTAATTGGAACATATAAATTGTATGTTCACAATTCATACACAAAACATTGAAAGCGCTGTCATTATTAACTAACAGAACTATGAAATCGGAACTAGTAAACCAGCAATTATACATTGGGGGGGTATAAAATTATAATACACTCCAGCATTTAATATAATGCAGTTTAACATTGATACATAATTAAACATACAAATTGTATTGTTTTTGCACTGATGAATGAAAAAATTTATATATCTTGATATTATGCTAAATATACGTTATGGAGGAAACAGACTGTTTCGGCATTAAACTTATTTACTTGACGAATTGAATACACACAATTACTTTTAATATTTCAAAATATGACTAAAACAAAGATAAAAGTTTTGATATCGAAAATCAATAAGAAAGTAATAATTAAGGTTTCAAGTTTTTGTAAACTGTTACCAATGTATCAGGGTTTTTAGAGTGGAAGTATTGTAGAGTTTTAAGAAAGATACACGTAACAACTCCCAGATGAACAGGGTTCTGCGATCCAAACATCACTTAAGAATGGAAGTTTGGGCTTGTAATGGTGTAAAATTACTATCTGATACATTTTTTTGCAAGGTTAATGGAGGTTGTTCTATTTTTGACATTGTCCCATTGTTCATTTAAATCGCTTAATAAATTTCTGGTTGTGGCATCTATGTAAAAGACCTTTGCTCCCATTTGTGCTTGCTGTAATGGGATTATGCGAACTCCAAAAGGGAAAGAGAATCCCTGTCATTGCATAGAATTTTGTGGAGTGGTAGTTGAGATTTGATAGTAAGTTCTTGTGCTTTTTCTAAGCACATACAATTTGTGAAGTAACAGGCCCTAAGTGTGGTATACTAGCTTTTTGTTTTTGTCATTGAAATGAAGGGTTGTGGGTTGGAAGAGAGAACTGCAGATTGCATTCTCTATTGAGAAAGAGAATGCAATCTGCAGTTCTCAAAAATTAAATTTTTGTTCTAGCCATACACAGAATCGCATTCTACACCCCAAGTCTAATTTAACCTCATATATTACACCAGCTTCTTCCAGCCATCTGGTATGCAAATGCAGGTCTATCATTCCTTATATGCAGGACATACTTACACTATTCATCCAGTGGCATAGCTACATATTCAGCACCCTGGAACAAGTAGAATTGTTGCACCCCCTTGTTTCTTGGAAGAGCTCTCACAAAATTTTGAACATTTAATTTAAAAACATATATCTAATTATTTTGATTTAAAACCTTACTTAATAACAATTCATATGAGATTGAAGGCATTTCAACAATAAGATATTCAATTTAATAAATGTAAATCTGTATATATAATCGAGACAGGTTGATGATAATAATAATAATAAGTGCAGAGCCCAAACGGTTAGGAGTTGAAAGTTGAAATTTGATACACAGTTACGGTACGTTATGAGAACGCACACTAAGAAGGGATTTTTCGAAATTCCTCCCCACGGGGGAGAGGAACAGGATTAAGGTTTAAGTAAAAATGGAAGTTTTAAGTAACAATAGAAGTTTTAAGTAACAATGGAATTGTTAAGAGAAAGTAACGTGCAAGATGCAGATTCAGATTTTTCATTTTTGCAGGAAATTGAACATATTTTTAGACCCATGTAAAAATTCTCTAATCAGTCCTGAAACAGGGGGACCCAATTCTTGCATTCTATGAAAACGGGTAAGGTTGACTATAACGTAATAATGTTAATCTTCCCTATCGTTACTTTTGCCTGAGCAATGCCGGGCCTATCTGCTAGTATAATAATAAAACAAATATAATTCTTTAATGTGAAACCACCGGAAGGGGGGGTAGGTCTCCCGATCCGGCAACAGGTTGTTAAACCCTTTCACTGTCAGGATGGGTGGTTGGAGGGTTCTTTTTCCCGTTGTGACGGGTCGAGTGGTGGAGGGAGGAGCGCGTCGGTGAGACGACAGGCGATATACGAGTAAACGAGGAGGCCAGATATAACATAAGAAAACGTAACAATTTATTAAACCAAGTAATACAACGTATAGTTCGCGTCCCTAAAACGCGGGGAGACCGAGAGAGAGCTTACAATAATTGGTTCCATACCTCTTGATCTGTTATCCAAGCTACTCGTTGAATTAGGAAAATTTCTCTTCTAGGAAAGTTCACTGATGTAGGAAAGGTCACTATTTAACTATTCGAATCCTGGATTTAGGGAAGTTCACTAGACAAAAAGGACACTATTTGAAATTGGTATTCTTCCGGCACCTGCTCCGGTACGACTCCCCCGAGAAGGGGAAGGAAGGGGTTTTTATAAGTTCGGCGTGGGAGAATGGTCACGTGATTGATTGTTGTGAGGTAAAAGGTATGTAGATGGGTCAGAGTTGTTCCCGGGACCATGCTAACTATCAACTTTGGCGTTGGAATGTGGGATTAGTTTCGAATTGAACGGATGTTTATGTCGAATGTAAACGAAAAGTTTTTGACTATAACGTAATAATGTTAATCTTCCCTATCGTTACTTTTGCCTGAGCAATGCCGGGCCTATCTGCTAGTATAATAATAAAACAAATATAATTCTTTAAGTACAGAGTACCTAATAATATTTACTACATATTAAATAAACTATATTGACAAAATGCATGCAAGTTTAGTTTCATAACATATACATAATAATACATAAAAATTTCAAGATTGTTGTTTTCTCGCTTTTTCATTTGTAAATCAGTCAATCACTTTGAGGCCATTTATAAATTATGTAAGGTATTTTAGGGTGGGTGGGGGGTCAAGGATTTCTTACCATTTCTTACTCAGGGGTAGGGGTAATAGATCTCGTCTTACGTAATATTCTTATTTTTATTTTTTGATCTCGTTGAATGGTGGAGTTTTGAATTTGGCTTCAATTTGGCCGTTTCTATTAAGAATGCTCGTTGTACTAAAGCCATCTTGTGTGACGTGATAAAATAATAACACTAGTAGACTCATGCTCTACACGTTTTTTCATGGGAGAAAGGCCATGTGGTTTCTCTCTCTCTCTATTTTTTTTTTATTAGAATAAGTGCACCACTCCTATGAGTGTATTACACTAAGAATACATAAAGCAAAATACATGATACACAGTAAACATAAAATTAGTATTTGGCTTTTAGTGAAAACTAAAATGTAAAACTAATTATTAGACATTATTAATAGTCTTTTCTTCCATATTTTTTGAACATAATTGTAAAAAGCATGAAACAGTGGCTTCTGAACAAGCTTACCGAATGGACATGACCAGCTGAAACCAAGTATAAAGATTTCTAATTTCAGAGTAAGTGTATGTTGATCGTGAATTGGACAATGATAGATTGTATTGTCGATGGTGTCTAGGTTTTCTGTAGAGCAAAAGCAAGAAACAGTTTCTACCTGGTTATACATCGCCATGTAGCTTCTAAAATTATCATGCTCAGTACGTAGTTGAGCAGTAGCAAATGTTAAATCTCTTAAGTGGTGATGACTACCTACATTTAACACTAGGAAAATAAAGTCTTGTTATTCTGCCAGTTTTACTGCTCAACAACTTTTACTGATTCCACCACTTTTGCATAGCGTTGTCATGAATGTAATTTTTAAGGCTGCTACAGCGTGAGAGAGAAATATGAGTGTAGTACTACCCAAGTCAGTGTCCTTTGCAGCTGACTTAGCCTCAAAGTTGGCTTTTTCATTTCTAAGTATGCCAGTATGGCCAGGAAAATATATAAAAGTTATCTTATTTACAGGATTTCTAATATGGTGAGGATATATGTGATTTTATTGCTGATGTAACTGGGATTTAATAGAGCTTTTAGGAAAGACTAAGAATCACTGTAAATGCTGATAAACTTTCGATAGTTTTTGTAAAAGCCTTACTGTCCTTTTTAATACTAATATTATTTTTAATTGTCTACTTGGACTTAATTTATTAATAGGGCATAAGCTGGTGTTTAAAGATTGACACAGCAATGAGAGTTAGTTCATGAAAGAACAAAATTTCTTTATTATATCACCTGTAGTAATAGTTTCTGTACACATGTTACAAGTTTACAAGTGTTTCGGGCTATCATGCCCCTCATCAGCAGTACTACTACCACAAACTAAAAAGTAACAATAATAAAACAAGATAAGTTATTGTATAAGTTAAAAATTTTTTACATAGCCATAAAAATAATTTTAAAAAAACCTACTGTAAATACATATTCCAAACCTGAGTATAAATGTATTTTTCTCTTTGTATAATTAATTAACGATTTAAACATTTCACTGTATAAATAAATTAAAATATAATAAATAAAGGTTGTAAATTATTAAAAACTAAAACATTACATATGAAAACCAAAAGGAATCACATCAAGCTCAAATTTTCACAATTCAACAGTATTATGGTGTAGAGACTCTGCTTTTTTATAATCGTCATCTAGAATGGTGCTCCAGGATTGTGGATTATACGACCCAAATTA